ACTCAGAGTGAGGACACATCTGGCTGGAAGATGGTGGCCAAGTCCAGCCTCCATCCCAGGCCTCCATAAAACCTCAGAGTCCACAGGGATTGACTTCAGGGCCCTCTCTCTAAATTACCCCCACCCCTGTGTCTTCCTAATGCCCATTCCCTGGGTCTGACCATGGGACCACTTCCGAGACAGTACCCCTGCTCCCATGGCAACACTTAACTATTCCCACAGTCCATTCCAGAAACACCAGACTTGATGATCTAAGAGTTTGCTTCCAGCTCTGACAGTCTGTGAACCTTTGACTCTAAAGGAGAGAGGTGGGGGGAAATATCTGAAGGAAGAGGGTTCTAGAAACGGGACAGCAAGAGCCAAAAACCTAAGAGGGGTATAAACCTGGTGTTATGGACTGAATTGTCTGTCTCCACTCCCACACCCCCAGCAGTCCAAATAGCACCAATGGGAGAGCATCACATTGAACTGTACTCTCAAAATTCGTATGTTGTGGTCACAATCCCTGGTACCTCAGAATGTCACAGTATTTGGAGATAATGTCTTGAAGCGGGTGATATGGTTAAAATGAGACCATTAGAGTGGAATCCTTAATCCAATAGGACTGGTGTCCTCCCAAGAAGAGGAAGAGACCCCAGGCACGCACACACACAGAGCTAAGACTTTGTGGAGACAGCGAGAAAGGTGACTTCTACTGGCCAAGGAGAGAGATCCTGGTAGAAACTAACCCTGGGGGCACCTTGATCTTAGACTTCCAGCTTTTAGAACTATAAGAAAAGTAATTTTTGTGGTTTAAGCCACCAAGTCTGTGTTACTCTGTTACAGCAGCCTGAGCAGACTCACACACTTGGTGTCTTTAAGGGAACAGCCATTATGGGGACATGAGATCAAAGAGCTTGTGGGGAGAGGGAGATAATGGCAACCTTCACAGGGCTAGGGAAAATATTGCTTTTGTTTGTTTGTTTGTTTGTTTTCCTTGGAATGGGATGGGGAGCATGGGAGGACTTTGAGCAAGAGAGTGACAAGATCTGTCTTACATTTCTCTTATTTACTTTTTTTTTTTTTGAGAGACAGGATCTCGCTCTGTCACCCAAACTGGAGTGCAATGGTGTGATCATAGCTCACTGCAGCCTCCAACTCCTGGGCTCAAGCAATCCTCCCACTTTAGCCTCCTGAGTAGCTGGAACCATGCCCAGTTAACCTTATTTTTGTAGAGATGGGGTCTTATTATGTTGCCCAGGTTGGTCTCAAACTCTTGGGCTCAAGCAATTCTCCCACCTCAGCCTCCCAACGTGCTGGGATTATAAACATGAGCTGCCACACCTGGTCCTCTGCTTTAATTTTTTTTTTTTTAAGTTGGAGTCTCACTCAGTCGCCCAGGCTGGAGTGCAGTGGCATGCTCACGGGCACCGCAGCCTTGACCTGCTGGGCTCAGGCGATCCTTCTACCTCAGTCTTCTAAGTAGCTGGAACTACAGGTGTGCATCACTACGCCCAGCTAATTTTTTGATTTATTGTAGAGACAAGGTCTCACCAAGTTGCCCAGGTTGTTCTCGAACCCATGGGCTCAGGCAATCCGCTCACCTCGGCCTCCCAAAGTGCTGGAATTCTAGGCTTGAGCCACTGTGCTCAGCCTACCTTACGTTTTTAACAAGACCATTCTGGAAGTTTTGTGGAGAACTGATCACTCAGGGGTGAAAATAAAAGCAGAGAGACCACGAGGAGAGATAAGAGGGTGACTTGGATGAGGCTAGCAGCATTAGGGTTGGTGATAAGTGTTTGGATTCTGGTACACTTTAAGGATAGAGCCAGGAAGGCCAGGAACAGTGGCTCAGACCTGTAATCCCAGCACTTTGGGAGGCCAAGGCCAGAGGATTGTCTGAGCCCAGGGGTTTGAGACCAGCCTGGGCAACTTGGCAAGACCTCATCTCTACAATAAATCAAAAAATTAGCCTGGCACGGTTGTTTTGTGCCTGTAGTTCCAGCTATTTGGAAGGCTGAGATGGAAGAATTGCCTGAGCACAGCAGGTCGAGGCTGTGGTAGCTGTGAGCATGCCTCTGCATTCCAGCCTGGGTGACAGGGTGAGACTTTGACTCAAAAAAAAAAAAAAATAGAGTCAGGAGGAATTACCAATGGATTGCATTGTGGGGTGTGAGAGAACGAGAAGCGTTATGGGTCATTCAAAGATTTAGCCTGAGCAACTGGAAAAGTGTAGCTTCAGTTTAGGGTGGGTTCCATCTGAGATGTGCATTAGCCATCCACGTGGAACTGTCCAGCAGGTGGTTGGATATTTGGATATGGAGCCCAAAGGGGAGAGCTAGTTAGAACGAGGCACCAAAGAGGGTCTGTCCCCCACCCCTCTCCTTCTCATCTGTCCCAGACAAGAGCCCCCTGTGCTTCCCCCACCACAGCTCCCATCACAGAATATTTGCAATCTGCCATGGACTTGTCTGTCGTCCCTGTCAAACAGAGTGAAAGAGGACTCTAGGTGTCTGGTTTGCCATTGTATTTCCAAAGGCCTGGCACCCAGTAGGTCCTAGACAAGTGATCTGTTGAATAAATGGGATGATACAATGAGGGGTTAAAATGGACAGACGTGCAAATGTTCCTAAACATTCCCCTCCCCTTCCTGAGCCAGATAATGTTATCTTTTCCAGCAGGCTGCTCAGAACTCCACCCCTTCCTGTCCTTATCAGAACGATCAGGGACATTTGTGGGCAGAGGAAAATCAACCAAGAGAGACCAGAAAAACAGGCAGACGGCTCATGAGAGAGGTTTAAACAATCCGTATATTAAAGAACCAGGAGAAAGTAAGGAGGGAGGAGGGGTGGGGGGGGGAGAATCTCCCCACTCAGGCTGCAAGTAAAAGGGGAGTTATTTCTTTTGGTTTTTGTTTGCTTTTTTTGTTTGTTTTGAGTCAGGATCTCACTCTGTAGCCCAGGTTGGAGTGCAGTGGCAGGATTATAGCTCACCACAGCCCTGACCTCCTGGGCTCAGGTGAACCTTCTACTTCAGCCTCCTGAGTAGCTAGGATTACAGATTCACACTGCCACACCTGACTAATTTTTTTTATTCTTATTTTTTTGTAGAGATGAGTTCTCACTATGTTGCCTAGTCTGGTCTTGAACTCCTGGGCTCAAGCAATTGTCCCGCCTCGGCTTCCCAAAGTGCTGGGATTACAGGCGTGAGCCACTGTGCCCAGAACTATTTCTTTGTGTAACAGGCTTTCTTTTGAGCGTGGACGATGTTAAATGAGAGATTCCCGGGTAGTGTGTGAGAGTGAATTAGGAAGAGAGCAAAAGGGTATGAGTTTTGCTAGGGGAGAGAATCAGCTCTCTCTATGAGTGGCATTTGAAAACCACACGCTAGGAGCAATTCATCAGGAAGACATCGAAATCATAAATATATGTATGTACACCTAATGACAGAACATCACAATTCCTGAAGAGAAGGAAATCAGGAAACAAAAATGGACACGACTAAGGGGAGACACAGATAAATCCCAATAAAACAACCCTTTCTTGGTAACTCAAATGTTGAATTTTTTTAAAAATCAGCAAAGAATCCTTTCATAGTTCAAAAGCACAATGATGGTGTGTTCACCACGTGCATGAGTGAAACTTGCCTTTCTTGCCAGGCTCAGTAGCTCAGCCTGTAATCCCATGACTTGGGAGGCTGAGGTGAGTGAATTGCCTGAGCCCGTGGGTTCGAGACCCGCCTGGGCAACTTGGCGAGACCTCATGTCTACAATAAAAATAAAAAATCAGCCGAGCATGGTAGCGCGCGCCTGTAGTTCCTGCTACTTGGAAGGCTGAGGCAGAAGGATCGCCGGAGCCCAGTGGGTTGAGGCTGCGGTGGCCGGAAGCAGCCACTGCACTCCAGTCTGGGCAACGGAGTGAGACTCCAACTCAAAAAAAAAAAAAAAAAAAAGAAACTTGCCTTTCTCAAAGCTTGTTACAGCATCCGCACATTACTCGTCTGACATGAAGTAAAAAAACAATTATTTTAAATCAAATGAAAAAAAATCAGCAAAGATATAGAAAAATCTAATCAACACTGTCAACCAACCTGCTCTGGCAATTACAGAACACTATACCCTAAAACTGCAAAATATAAACAATTTTCACGTGTACCTCCAAGTCTATCAAAGATAGATCATATAATGGGCCATAAAATACGTCTCAATTCATTTCAGAAAATCAAAATTGTATCGAGTATGTTCTCTAACCACAATGGATATAAAAACCAAAGCAATAACAATAAAATATCTAGAAAATCTTACAGAATTTGGAATTTAGATAGCACACCTTTAAATAATCTATGGGTTGAAAGAAAAAAGGCACAAGCAAAACTAGAAAATATCAAACTGAAGGATAATGAAAGCACATCAAATTAAAATTGTGGGACACAGCCGGGCTCGGTGGCTCAGCCTGTAATCCCGCGCCTTTGGGAGGCTGAGGTGAGTGGATTGCCTGAGCCTGCGGGTTCGAGATCCGCCTGAGCAGCCAGACCTCATCTCTACAATAAATCAAAAAATCAGCCGGGCGTGGTAGCGCATGCCTGTAATTCCGGCTACTCGGAAGGCTGAGGAGGAAGGATCGCAGGAGCCCAGCAGGTCGAGGCTGCGGTGGCCGGAAGCGGCCACTGCGCTCCAGTCTGGGCGACAGAGTGAGACTCCAACTAAAAAAAAAAAAAAAAAAAAAGACTGTGGGACGCACCTAAAGCCATACCTCCTGGTCTGTCATTAGGAAATGTATAGCTCTAAGTGATTATACTGGGGGGGGGGGGGGAAGAGAGAGGGGAGGCCTAAAACTAACGACCTGAAAATCTACCTTAAAAAGCTAGCAAAACTAAGAACAAAGTAGACACAAGGCAAATAGAAGAAAGAAAAAACTAAGGTTAAGAGTAAGCATCAGCGAAATAAGACACAAACGGTAAAGAAAATTAACAAAGCTAAAAATTGGTTCTTTGAAAAGGTTAATAAAATTGAAAAGCACAGGTAATACTGGACCTTCTTTTTTTTATTACTTTGAGTTTTTTGTGCTGACTGTGCATGGCCTGGCTCACATGGATGCTGGGTTCACAGGGGTTACAGGGGAAGGCAGAGAGAGCACGTGACAGCCTCCAGCGTGCCTCCACGGCGGACAAGCACGCATGCGCTCCTCCGTGCCGGGCCCCCGCTCACTGCTGGATCCTGCGGATGCTCTGCACTTGGAAGGTCTGGGCGTGGGTGCCCCACTCCCGGAAATGCTTGTAGTCGCCCGAGTGGTGATCGCACTCCAGCACATACTGAAAACCTCGGTAGCCAGGAAACTGGGAGCAGACCCAGCTGGAAAAGCGAAGAGGCAGACAGTTAACCCGACAGAAGCACCTACATGGTAATCAAGACGAGGGCAAATGGATCCATGCTGCAAACACATTCCAGCCATTGGGGTCTTCCTTCCGTGCCCAGAATATGCCATGCCCTCTCCCCTATCTCTGGGTCTTTGATCATGTGGTTCCCTTTGCCTTTCTTTGGCTAGCCGAGTTGTATCTGTCCCTCAGGGCTCAGCTCAACCATCACTTCATTAGGACAGTGTGACTCATTCTCCCAAATGAGTCCACCGTCCCTTATTGTACCTTTGTAGTGCTCATGCAACTCGATAATTTTCAAATCATTTATAAAATGTCAGCCTCCCCTGTCAGTAGGTAAACTCCTGGATGCAGGAACGTGTGTGTCTTAGTCATCGTTATCCCTGGTGCCTAACACAATGCCTGGCACAGAGGACGGGTTCTGTAAATATTTGATGAACAAATGAAGGAATGGGAAGTCTTATTCTTTCCCCCTCTTTCCTTACCCAGAAGCACTTCCAAGAAAAAGGCTAATGTTTCAATTCATGGATACCTGCATTGTTAGGGACAAGGATTGGGCTCTGGCGATCTTTCGCCTCAGCCTTCCAAGTAGCAGGAACTACAGACACATGCTACCATGCCCGGCTAATTTTTGATTTACTGTAGAAACGAGGTCTCGCCAAGTTTCCCGAACCCGTGGGCTCAGGCAATCCACTCGCCTGGGATGACAGGCTGACCCATCTGTCTCTTTATAGTTGGGCATCTATTCTCCCCTCTTCTGGTCCTAGACCTTGTAGCCCCTCCCCCTTTCAGTCAAGATGGGAAAATGGGGCAGACACTAACAATGAGCATGTGACCAGGCCTAGCCAAGCAGAGCACCTCATTCTGTGACCATGGTGATTAGTTCAGAGTTGAGCACATGCCCCAAGTTGGACCAATGAGCACCTTTCCTGGAAACTCCAATGGAATCGTGCGGAAAAAAGCACTCTGTCCCTGGGGCTGGAACGTAGACGACGCTTCCCTCTTGGTTGTAATTTAGGAAGGGTCATCTAAGATATAGCCACAAGGAGGCAGGCAGAGCAAGAGGAAGAGAAAGATCCTTGCTGTAGCCTCTGGATCCAGCTGTGCCTGAAGCTAATTACAGGGACCAATAAATATCCTTTGGGGTGAAGCCAGTTTGATCTAGGTTTCTGTTACTTGCAATCTCACAATTTCTTCCTGATACCTCCCTGTACCTCAGCGTTTTCTTCTGAAATGTGAGCGTCAGAGCACAAAAGTCACAGTTTTCACAGCAGGTATCCCTGGCCCTCGCAGTATCCACTCTTCTCCCTGCCAGGCAGAGCCTTGGATACACTTACGCCCCAGAGTGGACATGGAAGGAGCCCACTTCATTGCCTTCCCAGCCCATGGCCTGGAGAGAGGGATAGTCATCGCTCAGCTCTCCTTTCTTGCCCAGGAAGTTTTCTTGCTCGAAGATGGTCAGCCTCGAGTCACGGTGGTTCTAAAGACACAGGGAACAGGGTCAAGTGCCCAGTTGGAAACCCAGGAACCTCTGCTGGCCCTCACCCCCTTAGCCTTGTCTCCCAAACCAGCCTTCCTTGCAAACCATTTGGAAGGGTAATGAGGCAACAGGTGTCAGAAACCTTTCAAAAGACATACAGTTTGCTGGTACACAAATCCCCTTTCCCAAAATTTACACAAAGACAACAATCATGGAGCAAAGATTTCATCATTAACAATTAAAAAACAACCAAACAAAACCACAATCTGAATGTCCAATAATGGGGCATCAGTGATAAACTGGTGTGTTGCACTGTGGTTAAGAAGGGTGTAGAGATCTGAGTTATCTGCCACCTACCAGCTGACTCAGCTTAGACATGTCACAGTCTTTCTTTCTTTCTTTTTTAGTTCAGAGTCTCATTCTGTCATCTGGGCTGGAATGCAGTGGCCGCTCATAGTTACCCCAGACTTGACTTGCTGGGCTCAGGCGATCCTTCCACCTCAGCCTTCCAAGTAGCAGGAACTACAGGCACACAAGCGTGTGCCACCATGCCCAGCTAATTTTTTGACCACAACCAGCTAATTTTTTAATGTATTGTAGAGATGAGGTCTTGCCAAGTTACCCAGACTGATCTCAAGCCCCTGGGCCCTGGTTATCCTCTCACCTCCACCTCCCAAAGTGCTGGGATTACAGGTGTGAGCCATCACGTCCAGTCTACACACCGTTTCTTTTGAGTTTCATATCAGCACTCAAAAAGTCTTAGATTTCTTCAGATTTTTTGCTTAGGAATGCTCAACGGGTAAACATACAAATATTGCAAAATTTTTTTAAAAACTTAAATCCAAAGTGCTTTGGATTCCAAGTATTTAAGGTATGTGACACTCAACCCATAATCTGTGGACAGCAAACAAGACCAGAGGAAATCTGGTGGGCTTCCGTCTCAGAGGTGTGGTTCTGCGTGACTTTTGTTTTCTTATTCTACCATATTCTTTCTGACTTTGAATAATAAATATGGTGCCTTATGTTATTTCAAATCAGCAAAGTTTGTTTTTAAAGAAAAAAACTTTCTGAACCCCAGTTTTTTCATCTGTAACACAGAACAAGAACGCTCACTCCCACCCAGATTCCATAAACAGTGGTAAAATATACAATCAGGAGCACTGATAATTAAGAGCAAAGAAATGGAACCCTTCCATTGGCCCTGACATCCCCAGTACCCAGCTTCTTCCAGGGTCTCCCAGTCCCGAAGAAGGACACAAAACTCGCTTGCGGGGGCTCCTCTCATAACCAAGTTGCCGTGGGTGGGGAGTTTATGGCCGGCTCTGGCCAGATGCTAACACTGGTACTATGGCCCCATTTCAAGATGAATAAACCAAGGTTCGGAGAAGAGAAAGACTGAAGAGCCACGTCATACGGCCTGAAAAGGTGACACGAGAACTTGCACTCTGCAGCATTTGGTCCTGAACTGACCCACGAGATAAGTGGTGTGAGCCTAGCAAAGAGCAGGTGACTGGGCCTACCCAATCGGAGCACCCTGCTCCTGTGGGCATGCTGATTGGCTCAGATTCGAGCACGTGACCCCGGCTGGACCAATGAGCACCCTCCCGCCTAAAGGCTCAGGCTTTCCGGGGGTGGTGGGACTCACAGCGCAGGCCACGGGCCGGAAGGAGGTGAGCCTCTCGGCGGGGTAGGCCGTGTTGCCGCTCCAGGCATCCCAGCATGGGTACTCGCCCCGCTCCAGCACGTACTGCTGCCCCTGGAAGCCGGCATGTTCGAAGCCCACCCACCTGCGGGCAGATGGTAGAGCGTGTGGGAGGTAAGAGCCCCTCACCCTGAGCTCTAGACCGGTGGCTGTCACTCGGGGTGCTTGTGCCCCCAGGGGACATCTGGCAATGCCTGGAGATGTTTTTGGCTGGGGCCAGGCTGCGATGGACATCTAGTGGGTAGAGGTCTGGGATGCTGCTAAACATCCTACAATGCGCAGGGCCTCCTCCCCTCTTCCTCCCCGCCCCCACCTGCCATTTCCCACGCTAGAATTCAGCCCCAAGCATCGATAGCGTCGAGGTCCAGGAGCCCTGCCCTAGATCCAGCAGCCCGCTGGCTTACGTGTGTCCTTGGGAAGGGGAGCTGCCCCTGGGCGTGCCCTGACAAGCTTGCACCTGCGTGTCCATAGAGGTCACATACACAAGGCTGACCACAGTCTGACCTAAGCCTCGGTGGGATTCCTTGTGACCCTGCTGGGCCATGTGGAGACTGACAGTCTTATGAGGAGCCGCCCCAAGACCATTTGTCTCCTCCCTCACTGCTTCCACATGGTCTTTCTCATCTTCGTCTCCTGTCTGCATGAGATACGGGGCTTTCCAGCTCGCCACCCCATAGGCAACTGCAGCATGGAAGATAACTAAGGATGCCCACCATCCCTGTTGCCTTTTTATTTTGTTTTGGTCCTGTGACTGGACTCAGGAGTCTGACCATGAGGACCTTGCATTTGCTGTCTATAAGTAGAAAAATGGAAGCTATCCAGACTCACTGTCTGCTTACCGGCCAAGTCTGCCAGCCTGCTGGACATATCCTAGACAGGCCACTGTTCCCATTTGCACCCCATTCCCCACCTGCAAAAATCAGAAGCTAAAGTAGTGTTGACCACAGTGTGAGATGTGTGAAAACCACCAAGATTATTTTAAATGGCATTCACAGGCATAGCATTAAGTGAGTCCAAATCGCATGGAGAGAACATTGTTCTTCCAGGCTACTTTCCAACCTTCTGGAACCTTCTATCCAATAAGGTAGCCACTGTTTGCATGTAGCTACTTAAATTTAAACTTAAATAAATTAAGATTGAATAAAAGAAATTCAGTTCTTTAGTCTCACTAGCCACATTTCAAATCCTCCGTGGTCATATGTTACTGATGGCTCTGAATTGGAGCATGCAGATGTGAAACATTTCTATCATTTCAGAAAGGTTTACTGAAGGGTGCTATTCTAGAAAGTCTCAGTGTTACTAGTGTGTCCTGAACACCTCTCTATGTCTCACTAATCTCTCTTTTTTCCAAAAGAAGATCAAGCCTCAAGCTTAGAGTCTCAGCCAGGCAACAATATTTAACTAAGAATTAATAGCTCTTTTTTTGGTTCATTTTACTATCTTTATTTCACAGTTGCCTTCTATTTTTGGTGAGCGATATTGACTTTCAATTTATGGCTAAGAGGGGCATTTTGGATCCAACACTGGATTCTAAGGATGTGTTCCCCCCCCCCCCGCCCCTGCACCCAGGGCTGCTTTGCCTGGTAGGCAGGGTCTGTGTGAACAGTGAGTGCCCCCTACAGTTGGGCAGTACGCAACCTGCATGATCATACAGCAGTCCTGTGCATTCCTCAGCACTTCAGGAGGGCACACCAAGACAATAAGAGCCTGGGAAAATAAGTCCTAGAACATCTACAAGTCCCGGCACCCCACTCTAGCTCCCTTCTCATCCACCCCCCACCCCGATTCAGTATCCTCTGGACTCACGCTCCGCTCAGCACTTTCAAAGATCGCACAGTCTCAAAGCCAAGTTCCAGCACGCTGGGGCACTCAGCCGTGAACTCATGCCGCCGGCCCTGGAAGCCCTCCTCGTCCCACACCACCATCTGTTCCAGAAAAATAAGGTGGAGATCCACATTAGATTCCCCTGGGGTTGAGGGCTCACCCCAGGATGCAGCAGGTAAGTTAGGGATTGCAAACTCAGATGCCTCCAGGGCCAGGCAGGTGAGAGATGAGGGCTGTGGGGAATTGGAAGGCACAGGCCTCAGGTAAGTGGGCAATCTCTGCTCAGTGCCACCAGCAGGTGCCAAGTGGGAATGCGAGCCAGATCTTCTGATTTCTCAAGACAGTCCCTAAATCTGGACTTTTATGTGCATTCTCCAGGTTTTTAAAGACTGATGACAAATTCAAAAGTTTTAAAGCACAAACGCACACACACAGTCAATGAAATCATGCTGGAGGACTATGTGCAATCTCTGCCAGAGAATGTAACAATTCAAGTTTGGGAACCAGAAGACCCAAGTTCAAAGTATGACTTTGGGCAAGCCTCTTCCCTGTTCTGAGCTTTGATGAAATGGGCATTCATGACCGTCTCCTCCTTGGATTCATTGCAGGAAGGGTTAGGGGGTTCACTGGACTTGGGCTTGGCCTGCACCCCCCCTCCCTGGACAACCCCTCACCATGCCTCTTCCTACCTTCCAGTGTCCTGCTGACTTGGTGCATTGCAGGGTCATGCTGTCCCCTTCCTACAGAGGAGAAGAACATAATAATCTTCTGCCTGACTCTGCTCTGCTTCTTGATGCTGAAGGCTGGTTTAGGCCAGGTCAGGATCCAGATGGGGTCCAGGTGTGACTGGGCTAGGAGCAAAGTGTGACTTTGGCCTGTCCCACTCCTATCCTTCCCATCTAAGACCAATACCACCTTCCAGCCTGTCCCTACCCCAGACTCACCCATGTTGGACCCATTGCCTCTGAACCCAGCTCTGTATCCTTTTATCTCCTCACTATGGGACAATTTCTGTGGCTGCCAATGGGTGGTTGCATCACCCCAGCTGTGCCAAAGTCCTCAGCCTAAGAGAGCCCTTCCAAAGACAACATCTAACCCAGAGGTGGCTCTAGTGATAGACATTTAGGCAACAGGACTGCAGGGGTAATTTTGTTTGTAAATGAGGAAAGCAGACATTGGTCTTGATGGTTGAGGCCCATCCTTGGGTAGGATGAGGTTGGCATTCAAGGTGAGACACGGTGACGTCCCCAGGACTGGAGACCTGGGCTCCCTGCCTCTGAGGATGCACTCTTAGAGCTCTGATCCCACCCCTTCCCCAAACCTGGGACTTACCGAGATTGGCCCAGAGAACATGTCAGACCTGAGACCAGCCGAGGTCAGGCTCTTATAGGCAGAGAGGGGAGAGGGGCCCCCGGGAGACAAAGCTCCAACTCAGCAAGTGAGCAGCAGAAACAAAAGCCAGCCCTGGCTGGAGCGCCAGTGGCGAAATGTCAGCAGCTCTGGCTTTAGCTAGGAGGGTGCAGGTCAGGCTGCCTTCCCAAGGGATCATCCATGAAGAAGGCAACAGGTTCAAGGTCATCTGATGAGGCCATCAGCTCCATGGGGCTCCTTACTAGAGCAGGAAGGTGAGCACTGCATGAGGAGTCCAAAAGCATTCTTTCTAGCTATGTCATCTTGGACAAGTCATTTCCCCCCAGTTTCTCCCTGTAAAATGGAACAGGTACACACTATATCACAGGGTTATCATGAAGTTATGTAACATGCATGATACACAGTAAACATTCAACAAATGCCCATGCCTTTCCCCTCTCATCCCCCTTTCTCTTCCAGCCAGATCAGTCAGGATAAACTGCCTGTTGGTGGTGACATTTGAACCAGACTCTGAAGGGTGAAGATGATTTGTAGAGTGAGATGGAAGGAGGAGGCATTCTAAGCAAAAGTGCAAAGATGGGAACTTGGGGCACATGGACAAGAAAGGGCTGGAGCTTAGGGGATGTGAAGGGGAGTAAAGTAGGAGAGGTGTGCTGGACCAGTGTCTGCATGCCTGGAGATTTCAAAGATTGGTCCAGATGGCTCTGTGGGCAGAAGAAAGGGACTGTTGGGTGAAATGTACCTTGCAAACTGTAACACACCTGCCAAATGTCCAGGGCGAGCAGAGTTCACTGTGTGCATCCTGTCCCCATGCCCTGCCCTCTAAGTTGGCCTAAGAGGGGCCTCCAGCACAGGAAAGAGCCTGGCCAGGAGCCAGAGCACTCGAGGTGAAATCCAGCCCTGCCTTTTACCGTCTGGGTGACCTGGAGGACATATGAGACCTGCAAAATGGCAGCACTGGCATGCTCTCTCTAGGTAGGGTAAAAGGCAACTCTGACAGACGCACGAAGTTGATGAAGAGTTACCGTGAAAATTAAAGGTTGAGAATGCAACCTCTTCAGCTAGACCACCTGGGTTTGCATCCCACTCTTGCTGGCAGGGTAACTAAGTATGCTATCTAATCTCTCTGAGGCTCAGTTTCCTTGTGCATGAAATGGATATATAAGTTAAGTTGGGTTTGGCCTAATAGATAGGGGTATTGTGAGAATAAACATGAATTGGCCGTGAACTGCGCTTGGACCTACTCCTGGAACATAAAAAACATGATGTGACTCCATCATCTTCATCATCATCATTGCTAAAAATAAAAATGATTACTATTAAATAATTTTTATCAAAAAGCAGGAGTGCATTGTTCTCAAGAGCTTGAGTTCCAGAAAAAAGTTGAAATCTGTGAGCCCCACTTCCACTTTACAGATGAGAAAGCAGATGAAGAAAGGAAGAAAGGGAGTTGCTTCAGTCCCTTTCGGTACCTGGGGTCAGTCCTAGAAACTCCACTCTTTAGTGAGGAGTCCAGGAAGGAGTCAGGAAAATGCTCAGAATAGAGCCACCCTGCATGGTAGGCAATCCCCCACCCCCATCCCTGTTCCCACTCCCTGGCAGACAGCCCATTGTAGGGGGCACGGAACTATCCCAGACGACCTGGCCTTGAAGCCTAAGCCTGTGGGTGGCCCCCTACCGCAGACAGTCCCCTCCTGTGGTTCCTGCCCCCATCCCCTCCAGGCCTTGGCCCAGGATGAAAGGCTGAGGGGAGGCTGGTAAGTGAGGGGTTACTGGTGGGTGGAGGGGCAGGGAGATCTCAAGGCAGAGCTGAGCTCCATGGGGAGATCAGATTCCCAAAGAAGATTCAGGAACCTATACAGACACCCCCCCAACACACACACACACCCTGCCTGGGGCTGGGGACTGAGACTTCAAGTGATCTTGCTGGTCCCTCTGACCCCAACTCCACCGTGAGTTGAAGTCATTTGTTCCTCCTGCCTCAGTTTCTCTGGGAAATGAGGGATTGGACCCTGTGATTTCTGGCATCTGTTCCCTGACCTGACCTCTTCTGTCTCCCCCCTGCCCGGTGTCTCTCTGTCTCCCTCATCTCTTTCTGTTGCTCTCTGCTTCTCCCCAGCTGCCCCCTGCTTCTCCCTCTTCATATTGGTTTCCCTGGCGACCTCTGTACCCCATGTGGTATGATCCACCAGAATGACCTATCACCAAATATTGATGGGGCGTTTACCACGTGCCAGCCCATATATGCTAGGTGCCGGGGCCAGGGATGAACCAGTTGTGGTATTGGGGGCTTCCCAGAGAGGGAGGCTCTGAGACAGGCAGTCATGCGCCTGGCCACCAGCTGTGTCCCTGGGGTCATAAGATGGGGGCTGAGTGGGAGAAGACAAGCAGGTCAGGAAAGGATGGGGCCCAATGTGGGCAAGAAAACAGGATGCTCCAGCCACCTGAGCACAGTAAGACTCCCCCGTGCCTGTTCCTACCCCTGCCCAGAAACAGGAAGTCAGGCCCGGGCCAAGGTCAGAGAGCAAGCATGAAAAGGAAGCACACAGGCCCAGAGCAGACCAGCCTGTGCTGGCTCTGACCTCTATGCCTTGGCTTTCCTCATTTGAGAAATGGGCATAATGGATGTACCAAATAAGGTAGGTTGTCCTGGGAGCTGACTGAGCCAGCATGGGCTCAGCACACAGTAGCACTCACTAAATGGGGCTGTTAATAGTACACCCACATCTGCCTTTGTAAGACATTTCTCCTGTGTGCCCTGTCACCCTCTCTTCTGTGCAGCATCCAACAGGGACACTTGTGCCCACTTTGTACCTGCACACACGGAGGCTCCGAGAGGTAGAGACCTACCAGAGCCACACAGTGTGTAGCGGCTGAGTCAGGATTCAAACCCAGTGCTCCTGCCTCCCGGGGTGTCCGCTTTTCCCTGCCCTGTGTTGGTAGCCACCAGAGACCCTGTGGGTTCATCCCTGGCTGGGACTATGGAGAGAGGAATCAGGGTAGGGTGGGAAGGCGAAGCACTGTGGCCTGGGTTTCTGCTGTGTGCGCTGGCCTCACAATGGAAAGTGCTGCTGTCTGCAGTGACCCAGGAGAGGTCGGGCCAAAGGCCCTCACTCCCTGTCCAGGCCTGCTGAGCCAGCTCCCCCTTTGTGCCACAGACTATAGGGCCTGATGTCTGCCAGACTATAAAATGGGGGGTCGGTCCCTAGTCACCCACAGCACCGCCCGCCTGCCTGTCCTCCAGCAGAAAGTAGCAAGTCCCAGGTAAGAGGGAACCCATCATGCAGCTGAGAACTGAGGGGGAGGAGAAAGGAGGCAGGGGCAGGGGAAGGCAGAGACTGCAGTGACGCGAAAGTCAGAGAGGCAGGGCAATGGAGGCGGAAACAGGGAGAGGAAGAGGAGGAGGAACGGAGGAAGATGGAGAAAGAAAAGAGAGAGGTAAAGATAGTGATAACAGATAAACAGAGACACAAAGTGGGCAAGATGCCGGAGGAGACAAAAACACAAAGATAGGCGGAGAGGGAGAGATGTCATGACAGAAATAAACAGGCAGCGAGAGGGAGGAGACAAGAGAGGGAGAGGGAGACAGAACAAGAACATCTCCAGGAAGGAATGAGTCCAGGTGCCAGCCCCAGGGGTGACCCAGATTTCCTTCCTGGGGGAGGGACACAACCAGCTCCTTACTGAGAGTGCTCAGGAGTAAGCTGGACCAGGTCTTAATCTGTGCTGTCTGGGGGTCCCCGAATCCCTTGACATTATCTCCAGAATTAAAGGGAGAACATTTTCCCCCTGGGGACAAGGTCAAAGTTTTCATCAAACTCTCAAAGGAATCCATAGCCCTGGAGCAACAAGGAACCACTGGAACTGACCAAAGCCCTCTCCGCCCAATGCCTACCCAGCCACAGTTCTCATTTTTAGAGCCCTTGACATGCACTAAAAATGTCCTCCCAGGTCCTCCGCTGTGCCCCAGTTTCAGACCTGTATTTGCACCTACACACCTAGCCTGAGAGAATGCCAGAGGCAGCAGACTGAGAAAGGAGCTGGGGTGGGCATTTGTTCACTCTCTGAGCAGTTGTTCTTTGAGCATCTCCTAGTGTCAAGTGTAGAGCCCAGGACTGGGGATGGACGGGTGAATAAGAGCAAGTAAAAGGCTGAGTGCTTAACAACCCAGCTGCTGGGTCTGTCTGCCTAAGGTGATCAGAGCCCTACCACTGAGCAGGCACCTCCCTGCTTCAACCCCTGGCTGCCCAGAGCAGGTGATGGTAGCAACTCCGTGGCTCAGAGTCAAGGTCGAATGAGTTCACCCTTGCAGCAGTGCCCAGCACACCTTATACACTCCCAAATGCAGTGTCTTGTAATCTGGTGAGGTGCATTGAAATCACACAAGCAAATCCGAGTGACAAGGGGAGTGGGAAATTGCTGGGGGCTAAGGAAGGACCTGTCAGGGTAATGGAGGATAGGGCGGCTGGCAGAGGGGTGGCACAGTCAAAGGCCTGGAGGGGTAAGTGGTCCCTGGACAGGACATTTGTGGTGGGAGACTAGGGATGGAACAAAACTTTCAGGCTTATATTTCAGAGGGCGAAAGAGAGGAGACGAGTTCAAAGGAGTCTGAAAGCACAGGAGGAGGGGATGAGAGATTGGCAGCTTGGGGTGCCATCCCCGAATCTACCCAGGCCAAAGGTGTCTTTACAGATTTTTGCAGGCGGAAACCATGTCTCAGGCTGCAAAGGCCTCGGCCTCGGCCACAGCAGCGGTGAACCCAGGGCCTGATGCCAAGGGGAAAGGGGCCCCGCCCTCAGGAGCAGCCCCTGGCCCCGGCTCCACCCTGGCCCCAACGTCGGTGCCTCTGCCCAGCACCAAAGCAGGGGACCTGCCTTCTGGGAGCTACAGGGTAAGGACCCGGGGATAGGGATGGGGTGGCTGGACACCATTCCTCTACTTCCTCCTTCCCCCTTCCTCCTCTTCCTCTTTCTCCTTCCTCTTCCTCCTTCTTCTCCTCCTTTCTCCTCCTCTTCCTCTTCCTCTTCTCATTCTCCTCCTGTATCTGTTTTTTTTTCCTTTCCACTTTTCTCCTTCATCACCTCCTCATCCATCCCCTCCTCTGTCTCTTTTCTCCTCTTCCTCCTCGTTGGCCCCCTTTCACTCCTCCTTCCTTGACTCAAACATGGCCCAGCCAAGCTGGGAGCCCATGAAAATAGCCAAGGGTTTAACAGACTTGGAAAGAGGGAACCCATTCTGAAGTTGTGCAGTAACAACAACAACAACAGCAAAAACATAGCACTTCACAGCTTCAGGGACACCTGCCAGTCAGGCTAGACCTGCACAAGCATGGCTTAGAGTTGATGGAAAGCAAGAAACAGAAGAGAAGGAAGTGGCTGGCTTAGCGGCAGGAGCCACCTGTCCCAGGAGGTTCCTCAGCAACAGTCTGGCCTCAGCCCTTCCTGAAAGCTGCTCAAAGTAGCGGAGGCTGAGAGGGCTCCTGGAGAGCCAGGCGTCTAGTCCCCTGGGACGTGGTTTGGTTTGGTTTGACCTTGGGTGCACAGGACTGGGTCATTTTGCAGCCCTTGGTTCGTGACCCGCTCTCATGTGATCTGTGCACGGCTGCTTTTCTTTACATACTTAATCATTGATGTGTGTTTAACTTTTAATAATGCAGCAAGTACTGCAGCTCACCACGGTATAAAAGCCAGAACTGGTAAAAACCCTCTGCTTACCTCCAAGGTACTCCCTTGAGCCCACTATGCCCCTCCCCCCACTCCAGAAATCCATCGTCTGCTTGTTTGCTTTTTAAGTATTATGCATTCGTCTTTTAAAAGTGTGTGTGTGTGTGTGTGTGTGTGTGTGTGTGTGTGTGTGTGTGTGTGTGTAATACATATGTATTTCTTGTTTTTAACTTACTGAAACATTCTGTGGGTGGGGATTCTGGGTTTTCCCTTTTCCTTTCCACTTCCGACCTGAAGTGAGAGCCCTGATCCCCCCATATCCTGTTGCACATCCGTGTGGGTTATTCATTTGGCTGCCGTGTGATATTCCAGGGCAGGATCGCCCTCCTGTTGAGGGCCATGGTTGGGAGTGGGAGTTCCAGCTTTGCTCTTGTGGACAGCACGTCTTGGATGTCCTTATCCTTGTCTCCTGGGATAAGTGCAGGAGTGGTCAAGGCTATGTGAACCTCCCCCTTTTATAACTGGGGAAACTGAGGCTCAAAGAAGGCAGACAGTTGCCTCAGGTCAAGTGAACGGCAATGTTTTCCTAGCTTGAGACATCAAGAGCCAAAGCACCAGGCTTAGTGAGGAGAGATTAGCTCAAGTTCTCCCCTATGTCATGGAGGGTGGACCAGTAAGTGTGCCCTGAGTATCAGGTCTGGGGTGGGTGCTGAAGATACAGAAATGGATCCACCCCGGGCACTGCCCTGGAGCACTCCTGGTCTTTGGAGGGGCTGGGTAAGGGGGAGAGGAGTGCATATATATATAGAGAGAGACCCAAAAGTAAAGCAGCAGTGACTGTGTGGTGAGTTACTTGTGCTGCTTATGGTGAGAGCACAGCTTAGCCAAAGCCATGTTGGGGATGGGCAATCAGGGAAGGCTTCCTAGAGAAGGTGACATCTGAGCCTAAAACATGACATGCAGCCTAGAATATGAATTAAGGAGCGTGAGTTAGGTGGTGGAAACTCCTAGATGGGGATGTGGGGTGGAGAAGGCATTAACTGGCAGGAGGAACAGCACAGAGAAAGATCTGGTAGGGAACCCCCTCCGAATGATGTCGCAAATCTTAAGTTCAGAAGTGGGGGATGGGAGGACGGGATCATTTCACAACCATGGCTTCCAACACGCTTTCCGGTGACCTGCGCGCAGCCCGCGCTTAGGTAGGTGCTTCATGAATTCTTGACCCAGAGCCCCTCCAGCTTGGAGGTACTCCTCCCCCTCACTCTGCCCCTTTGTCATGGGGGTTTCTCTCCCACAGCTGGTGGTCTTCGAACAGGAAAACTTCCAGGGCCGCCGGGTAGAATTCTCGGCAGAGTGCTTGAACTTGGGAGACCGTGGCTTCGACCGAGTGCGCAGCCTCATTGTCACCTCTGGACCGTGAGTGTTGGCAGGGAAGGGGCAACCCTCTGCCACAGTAAGAAAATAACGCAGTAGTAGCTGTCATTCCCCAGTCACCTGCTCCATGCCTACAACTGTGCTAGTCCAATCCTCATTCAAACCTGAGAAGGGGGGTATGATTAAGTCCAATCCTCATTCAAACCTGAGAAGGGGGGTATGATTAAGTCCAATCCTCATTCAAACCTGAGAAGGGAGGTATTATTCTCATTCCCATTTTCCAGATGAAGAAACAGGCTTAGAGAGGTAATTCGATTAGCATAAGATCACACAGTCAGTAAGTCATGGTTCTGCACTCTGGAAAAATGCTGCTTCGACTATAGAAGGAAGCCTAGTCCATCAGTGAGGGAAGGAGGAGACCAGAGAGCCAAGTGTCCACTTCCTGTCCCCTCTCCTAGGCACCAAGCTGTCCTGGGAGTCATGCAGGTATCTGTGGAGCACCCCCTCCAGGTGCCAGGCACTGACTGAGGGCTTTACCTTTGCAGAACACTGTATGAGGAAGGGGCTGTTTGTTCTTTTTCCCATTTGACAGATGGGAAAGCGGAGGTCCAGCGGAGTTAAGTCTATTGCCAAGGACAGAGCCAGGACTTGACTCAGTTGATTGATTTCATTCCAAAGCTCTTACTATACTTCGCTGCCTGTTCCTGACTCTATGGGCCTCTGTGGGTCTCAGCAACCCTCATATAAAGTGGAAATCCTTGTCCCTCAGGTACAGGGGACTGCTCCCTGTGTGCTGAGGTCCAGGTGTTGGGCCAGCCCCAGCACAAGACCCACACAGGCCCTTTGCTCCCATTTCCCACTCCAAAAGCTTCCGAAGCTGTGGTCAGCTTGTGTGCTGAGCCCATTCTGAGATGGGGGTTCAGGTCAGATAAACCTGGGTTTGAATCCTGACCCCCCACTTGCCTGTTCAACTCAGTCTTCAAGCCTCGGTTTCTTCATCTCTGACATGAGAGTGACAGTTTCCACTGCCCCTCACAAGATTATTCTGAGACCCAAGGGAGATGCTGCAGCATGGGCCTGGCACCTTATCTGTGCCCAAACACAGCTGGTGACTGATGGTCACTTACCCTTATTGTGCTGTGAATTCAGCCTAGTCACCCTATACTAGGGTGCATTTCCAGGGCCATTTCTACCTCCTGCACTCATTCCACCCTCAGTCCCACAACCCAGCAGGGAGCACAAGCTACCGGATGTGGCCAACTTGGGTTTTTAGGCTTTTTTCGGTGCCAGTGACTCAAACCAAGAGTATTTCTCCTCAAACAGAGATGCAGCTGGTGTCTGGTGTGTTCTTTGGGCCTGTGGTCCAGGGGCCTGGCTCTGTGTCAGGATGCCAGGGCTGTGGGGCAAAGGATAAAGAGGACAGGGCAGGAGAAGGTGGGGAGAGGCTGCCTGCTGAGCAGGGTGGGAGGCATGACACCTGGCACCACCACTTGCCCTTAGGATGGGGACTGAACTCCTCTGAGGCTCAGTTTCCATATCTGTAAGTTAAAATTCCTGCCTTACTTCTCTCCTTGCTCACAATCTGAAAGGAGCTGTAGGAGATGAGAAAAGACATCGACACAAACATTTAAAATTCCTCTCTGTAACCAGTGTCCCCAAAGAAGACAGGAGGTTTGGAAGGAGGGCAGGCAGGGTGACAAGACCACATCGATGTCTGTCTTTCCCCTCAGCTGCTTCCCTTCCCTTTCCATCATAAGCAGTCTTACCTTTTGAGCTTTCTCTGTGCTGGTTCTGTTCCTTGCATTCCCTCTCTTAGGCGCTCATAGCCTTCTAACAAGATAGATGCAATCATCTCTTCTCTTACTGAAGCTTAGTGAGCTTCAGTCCTGCTTAGAGTCAGACAGCAAATAAATGGTGAACTGGAATTATAACTCAGATCTATCTGTTTCTAGAGTCTATGCATTTAACTCTTACATGATACCACCTTACAAGGTTCACTTCCCATTTGTCTGTCTGTCCGTCTGTCTATCCATCCATACATACATTCATCTATCCATCCAGCCACCCACTTACCCATGTATCTGTCCATCAATCTATCCATTTTCTATCCATCTACTTACCCCTTCCTCCCTTCATCCATTCTCTATCACCCATTCATCCATCCATAAATCCATCCATCTACCTGGGCATCCATCTATCCATCTATTCATCCACTTACCCATGAATCTATCCATCACCTATTTATCAATCTATCCATTCTTTATCCATCTACTTATCCCTCCCTCCTCCATCCATTCTCTATCACCCAGCTATCCATTCATAAATCCATCCACTCACCCAGGCATCTACCTATCCATCCATCAAGCCATCCATCCATCTATCCATCCATCCATCCATTCATTCATTCATTCTTCTACTCAGACCAACCAGGACTGAGACAGATTCAACTCTATTCTGGGAGGATAAATCTACATCTTCAATTCACTGAAGTGTGGTTGGCTTATCCCTCAGACAAAGACCTGAGGCTTCTGTGATACATTCTTTCTCAGTCCATGGTGGTAGTCCATCACCCCATCTCCCTCCTGGGAGAGAGATTCCAGCAACTCTCAGGGAGATGATGCTAGTGTCAGTATCCACTCTTTTGTTCCCTGAGAACTCCTGAACACACATAGAGCGAAGGGCAAGGGGTCACTTAACCTCGGCTTTCTCATCTATGGAATGGGGGTCATCCTGTCTCCCCCACCCCATCCCTGGTGCCTGTAACACAAGCTCATTTCCTATCCTTAATCAGCTGCACTAGGAAAGTCAGGAAAAGCCCCCATCATTTGATTTCAGACTTCTAATTGGCCCTTGTAAAGGTCTGATCCCCTTCATCTGCATGCTCGCATTAATTCTCCTGAGAGGCAGATTCCACCATCACTTCCTCCCCACTGCCCGCACCAGTTACTGAGTGTCTCTTGTAAGACAGGCCAGTCTTAACGCAGCATATGAATCAAGCTCCTGTATCCTTTTTTCCTTACCCCTGCACCTCTGAGACTGTTATTTATTAACCATATTTCATTTTTAAAAGCTTCTTTTAAGCACAAATAAACATTTTTAAGTATTTTTTTTTAGTTGGAGTCTGACTCTGTTGCCCAGGCTGGAGTGCAGTGGCACACTCATGGCCTCTGCAGCCTCGACCTGCTGGGCTCAGTTGATCCTTCCACCTCATCTTTCCAAGTAACTGGAACTACAGGCATGCAGCTAATTTTTTGATTTATTGTAGAGATAAGGTCTCGCCAAGTTGCCCAGGCTGGTATCGAACCTGTGGGCTCAGGCATTCCTCTCACCTCGGCTTCCCAAAGTGCTGGGATTATAGGCATGAGCCAACATGCCCAGCCCATATTTTTAAATAATTTTTACACTACTTTTATAAAACTAGTATCACCTGCTATAAGTAAAAGGAGTCCACAGAAAATTACATAGTGAACATAAAGCAGTGCTATTAGACCCTTTCTGGAGGCCCTGGGTTAGTGGCCTGTTCTTCCTTTGTTACAAAAACAGAGACCAGTAAGTGTTAAAGGCACATGAGCTCAGAGACTTTCTGCTTACATAATCAGGTTTTAAATGTCTCTTTATGTGTAATTTGCCCCAAGGTCCTCAAAGCATGTGTGAATGCTACATCTGGGGAAATAGTTACATATGTTGTCTCATTTACTCCTTTGCCAACTCCAAGAAAATAGGCCTTTTAGTGTAGATAAAGAAACCAAGGCTCAGAGAGTCAAAGTTACTTACCTGTAGTCACACAGCCAATAGGTGGTATAGCCTAGAGTCAAACCCAGATATGTTCTGTCCTTGTGAGACTTTAGACTTTCCCCTATAGACTTGCCAGTGGTGGGGGGCCAGGGGAGGGTAGAAGGCAAGTGGGGAAGGGGCTTCAGCTAATGATTTTTCTCTCTTCTGCCTTTGCACCCCCGGCTCTCCTTCGTGCCAGGTGGGTGGCCTTTGAGCAGTCCAACTTCCGCGGGGAGATGTTCATACTGGAGAAGGGTGAGTACCCTCGCTGGGACACGTGGTCGAGCAGCTACCGCAGTGACCGGCTCATGTCCTTCCGGCCCGTGAAGATGGTGAGTGGCTCCTGGGTGGATGCTGGGGAACCACTGGGGATGAGAATGGACAAATCAGGTCTGGGGGTGAGCAAGGGCAAAAAGGAGAGAACGGCAGGCAGGGAGGTGTGGTGGCCTCTGGGTAGTAAAGGGTCATGGGTTCTTGTGCTCATCAGTTCATCAGCATCCCTGACACCCGCACTGTGCTAGGAGCCTGGGCAGATGATAAACACAAAACCTTCCGGCTGTTAGAGCTGAAAATGCCAGCATCTTTCTTAATTCCCTGTATAGAATGTTTAGCATCCCAGGCTGCACAGTTGACCCTGCTGGGGAGCTTCTAAAATCCTAATGTCCATCTGAAACCCCAGACCTGCAGGTTGCAGGTCGTATAATGGCTAAGAGGAAGGACATTGTAGGAAGGCAGCTTGAACCTCTTGATGGTAAGACAATACACTGAATTCGTTTCTCATAATATTTAAGTCAAGAAGATTCAAGGTCAAGGTAGGTGGAGCTATTCCCGGGTGATTCACAACTTTTCCAGAATTGTGTTGGTGATGCTGATGATGAGTCATGAACCAGCCCCATCTTACGCAGCAATGTTCGCCTCTGCTGGCAACCAACTTCTGTCTTCCATGATGGGAATATTCATGAAGCATTTTCATGAATGTTCATTTGAGGCCATCAGGTGCCAACAACCAGCTGTTCTGCTGTCTCCAAATTTATCTTAATAGATTAATCTACCAGATCATTCCCAATGCTCTTCTCAGAAGTTGAGGCTGAATTATTAGCTTCCATGACAGACTCTTTGTAAGAACTCACAGATTTATCTCCCAATCAATGAATGGTCTTTTTATGGCAATCTATGTCCAAGATTGTTTGAAGAGTGATCAGCCAGGGCATTTCCAGTAGCTTCTAAAAGTTTGCTAGTAGGCACTAGCCATATGTGCTATTGAACACTTGAATTTTGACTAGACTAAATGGACATGTGCTGTAAGTATAAAATACACACTAGGTTTCAAAGACATTGTAAAAAATAAAAATAAAACCTTTTTAAAGAATGTAAACAAACCGGGTTCGGTGGCTCAGCCTGTAATCCTGCGCCTTGGGAGGCTGAGGTGAGTAGATTGCTGAGCCCACATGCCTGGGCAACTTGGCGAGACCTCATCTCTACAATAAATCAAAAAATTAGCCGGGTGTGGTAGCGCACGCCTGTAGTTCCAGCTACTTGGAAGGCTGAGGTGGTGGAAGGATTGCTGGAGCCCAGCAGGTTGAGGCTGCGGTGGCCGGGAGCGGCCACTGCACTCTAGACTGGGCGACAGAGTGAGACTCCAACTCAAAAAAAAAAAAATGTAAACAGTAGAGGGCTGAGGCAGAAGCATCACCTAAGCCTAGCAGTTCAAGGTTGTGGTGGCCGTGAACGTGCCACTGTACTCCAGCCTGGGAGACAGAGTGGAAAAAAAAAGAATGTAAACAGTATATTGATGTTATATTGGTTACATATTGACATTATAATATTTTAGATATATTTGTTTAAATAAAAAATATTATTAGACATTTTTAAAAATCCAGTTACCAGACCAACAATTAATTCCCCCCTGGCCAATTCCAGAACTCTGGGGTAGGACCCAGACACTGATATCTTTTCCACCCCTCCATCACCCTGCCCCCAGGTAGTCTCCATGTGCAGCCAAGGCTGAGATCCAGTGATCTAACCCTTCCTCCCTATTCCTTGCCACTGTCCTGGCCCAGGTCATCATCAACTCTGACGTGACCCAATTCCCTCCCTTCTAGGATCCCTGGCTCCTTTCCAGACCTCAGCCTGGGAAGTTAGAGGGATCTTTCCAAAATAAAACCCTGACCATCTTCTACTTAAACTTAGATACTCTGTCACTATTGACTGGCCTGTTTCTACCAGGCTGTGTTCTGGACTCTGGGTACACAGCTATGCATCAACAGACTGGACCCCTGCCCTCATGGGACTTACGCTGTACGTGGGGAGCGGCTATTAAAAACATTATTGTGAAGTCCATCTGTATTTGCACACATGGTAGGTGCTGCACGGGAGCCATGCTGTCTTGCTAGGAAAGCAGAAGCTGGGAACTAGGGGCTATAATGTTGAGGGTGGGAGTGGTCAGGGCGTGGTCAGAGAAGCCAGCTCCCAGGGTTGGGAACCCAGTCAGCCCTGCGAAGAGCGGGTGGAAAAGTCTTCCAGGGAGCTGTGTGGGCAAAGCTCCTGGGGCAAGGATGAACAATTGTGACCAAGAAAATGAAAAGCAGCCATCAGGGCTGCAGCAGAGGAAGTGCAGGAGTGAGGGGTGCAAAACGGGAGGGGAGGTACTGGCAGAGGCCAGGTCTTGCAGTGCCTCATAGGCAGTGGCAGAGAGCTTGATCTTGAACCCACTAGCAAAGGGGAGCCATCGGCTGACTTAACCTTCCAAAGGCCCTCAAGACTGTAACCTAAATATAGCTGTTAACACCAACTAAACACTTACCATAAGTTGGGAATTGCACTAGGGGCATTTGTCACACATGACTCCAAGGGTCCCTGCACTCCCAACCCTGCCTCACATCACACCCTCAACCTTTTGCGCCCTGGCCACACAGATATTTGTTCTGCCTGCTCCAACCTCCCAGCCTTCATGCCTTTTCCTCTGCCTCAGTGCCTTCCCTCAGCCCTTTTCCTTCTCAGCCTTGCACACTCCTGCTTAACCTCCAAGGCCTCTCTCAAGTGTCCCTTCTGCCATGAAGCCTTTCCTGATCCACTTTCTTTCCCTCTCCAATGATGACCCCTTTCTTTATTTACGATCTTCCATTGGAGTCTTTCATGGAGGAATGCACTTACATCCTGGACTCCACCTCCTCTTGGTAGGGGTGAATAATAGTAGAAAATCATAGTGTCCATTGATAGATCACATATGCTATGCTTTCATGTGATCCCCACAGCACTCCTCTGAGGCAGAGGCTATGATAGCCTTCATTGATTGATTGATTGATTGAGTTGGAACCTCACTCTGTCTCCCACACTGCAGTTCAGTGGCATGCTCATAGCCACCGCAGCCTCAACCTGTTGGGCTCAGGCAATCCCTCCACCTCAGCCTTCCAAATAGCTGGAACTTCAGGTGTGTGCTGCCATGCCTGGCTAATTTTTTGTATTTATTGTAGAGACGAGTCTCGTCAAATTGCCCAGGATGGTCTCAAACACCTGGGCTCAGGCAACCCTCTCACCTCGGTCTCCCAAAGTGCTACTATAAGCTACTGGCATAGCACTCATTTCAAATACAAGGGAACCGAGCTTCAGGAATGGAAAATGACTGACTTAATGTCACATAGCTGGTAATTGCTGGGACTGGGATTTGAACCCAGGTTTGTTCTGACACCAAGATTGGCATCACTCTGCTATGATTCCATGTTCATCTCTGTGATTCTACATTCTCTTGGGCCTAAAACCCCATAATTATTTTTGAAAAGATAGATGATTCCTGCCCCCCGAAATCACAGGCAAATTAAAAAACAAGGCATTGGCTGGGCGCAGTGGCTCATATCTATAATCCCAGCAATTTGGGAGATGGAAGCGAGAGGACTGCCTGAGCCCAAGGGTTTGAGACCAGCCTGGGCAACTTGGTGAGACCTCGTCTCTAATAAATAAAACTATTAGCCAGGAGTGGTAGCATGTGTCTATAGTTCCAGCTACTTGGAAGGCTGAGGTGGAAGGATTGCCTGAGCCTATCAGGTTGAGGCTGTGGTGGCTGTGAATGTGAGTGTGCCACTGCACTCCAGCCTGGGTGACAGAGTGAGGCTCCAACTCAAACAAACAAACAAACAAACAAAAAACAAGAGCAACTCAGAACTGAATCATGTGCCCAAATTCAGGGGTGGGCTTGTTACTTGGTTGATGCTCAGTCATGAGTTGAGTAGTTGTTATTTGCAATCCCAGGAGGCAGTAGTAACCCTATTCTATAGATTAGCAAACAGAGGCTCAGAAGGGGCAGGGTAAAATGCCCAAGGTCACTAGCACATAAGTGTCAGAGGCGGGAATTGAACCCAGATCTGTGTTCTACCGGTGCCCCATGGTGGTCCAAGGTCATTTTGTAACTTTCACCCAGTTTATAAGAAGCATTTACAAGCCAGGCTCAGTGGCTCAGCCTGTAATCCCAGCGCTTTGGGAGGCTGAGGTGAGTGGATTGCCTGAGCCCACGGGTTCGAGACCCACCTGGGCAACTTGGCGAGACCTCATCTCTACAATAAATCAAAAATTAGCCAGGCATGGTAGCGCACTCCTGTAGTTCTGGCTACTTGGAAGGCTGAGGCGGAAGGATCGCTGGAGCCCAGCAGGTTGAGGCTGCAGTGGCCGAAAGCGGCCACTGCACTCCAGTCTGAATGACAGAGTGAGACTCCAACTCAAAAAAAAAAAAAAAGAGAAGCATTTACAAAAGGGCCATTGGTTAAACTCTTGATGACACAGGAACATTGATTGGGCTTAGAAATAAAATGCTTCTCTGAAAGGTTCTGCTTCCTGCTGGCTGTATGCTGTTGATCAGTAACCTTGACCTCTCTGCACCTCTGTGTCCCTGACCACAATAATAATAAGTAAATGCATTGTTTGAGCACTTGGTATATGCGAAGCATGTACTCAGTGCTCTGTATGGACTCACTCATTTCACCTTGAGAGTCCTGTGATGTGAGGGCTGCCATCCATTTCCTTCCAAATCTTTCCAGACCAGGCAGCAGTGATCCCAGGAGAGTCCCATAGTGGCCCATACGGGCTTGACTGTCTCTCTCTCCAAACCCACAAGGCCCCAGTAAGTTCTCTTTGCCCCATTTATACTTCACACGCCTGACCCAGCCTCTCCTACTCCAGGACTCCCATGGGCACAAGATCTCTCTGTTTGAAGGTGCCAACTTCAAAGGCAACACTGTGGATATCCAGGAGGACGACATGCCCAGTCTCTGGGCCTGTGGCTTCTGTGACCGTGTGGGCAGCGTGAAGGTCTCCAGTGGAACGTAAGCCTCCCTCTTGCCAGGTCCATGCCCCCAGCTTCAAGCACAGACAAAACCTGGAGACTCCCCCTTACAGGATAGAGTACCAGGTTCCCTGAAAAGGCCACATACCTCCCTCAGTCTCCCGGTGCTGGTGCCTGGGACTCTGCCAACAAGGCGTCATTTTCCTGGGGAGTAGAGTCTGACTTTGATGGATTCTATGACGGTGTAAACAAATCTGGCAATTGGCTCTAAAAAGCCAAAAGATGGAGACAACAGGAGCCGCTAAACCCAGATTGAGGTGGGAGGAATTATCATCCGAGGGGATCAGAGTGGATGTGGGTAGGTGAGGCTGGATGCATCCAGGAGAGAGGATGTTGAGGCAGACCGGGAGCCTCTGGGGACATGAGCAGAATGACTTCTGAGAGGTGCATTTGAATCATGAGAGGACCTTGACCCTGCTACTGATGGGCTGAGGAACCTGGCTGAGCCCACATGCCTCTCTGCCTCTCAGTCTTGCCTGCTATACAATGGGCACACCAAACTCCCTGATCTAAAAGGGCCCTTTCTTCTCTGGACTCTCAGGATCTGGAGCTCTCAAGACAGAGCCCCATGTCCATGAGAATATAGGGAAGGGCTGGATGCCCGAAGGAGGTCACTATATCCATCCCTCTGCCTCCAAACAACCATGCCAGACTGCCCTGGCCACCTCTAGGCAAATTTAAGTTTTTGTCACTCTATCCCCAGACTCCTTCTGAGTTCCTGTAATACCATCAGGGCCCTGGCCTTTTTCTTGTTCCTTTCACCTGCCCTGAACCCATATTCCCACCATTTGTGCCATCTGGAATTTACTGAGTCTTGTCTGTGAGCCAGGCTCTATGCTAGGCATATGGGGGAGGCAGAGATGAATAAGGCCACATTCCTGCCTTCAAGGATCTTACTTAGCCTAGCAGGGAGACTCAGATATACCTGTGAGATGGTGTTCAGCAGTCCTTGGTAAGAGATATTCCAGCCAGGACATTGCAGGTCAGAGGAGAAAGGAAGGTTTCTAGGACTTGGGTGTGTGTGTGTTGGGGTGGAGGACAGGTTGAAGCTCAATCTGAAGAGGCTGGAACTTAAACCGGGCTTTGACAAATGAACAAAGGATTTGGGAGAGGCCTGGCAAGATCTTTCCTCCCAGCAGAGACAAAGACAGAAGTTAGGACTGGGCTCAGTGGCTCAGCCTGTAATCCCAGCACTTTGGGAGGCTGAGGCAAGTGGATTGTCTGAGTCTGTGGGTTCAAGACCAGCCCAGGCAACTTGGCAGGACCTCATCTCTAAAATAAATCAAAAATCCTCTGGGCGTGGTAATGCACGCCTATAGTTCCAGCTCCTTGGAAGGCTGAGGTGGAAGGTCACTGGAGCCCAGCAGGTCATTACTGGGTGGCCATGAGTGTGCCACTGTACTCCAGTCTGGACCACAGAGTGAGACTCCAACTCAAAAAAAAAAAAACCAGACAGAAGTTAGACTTAGTCACTGATAATAACTTTTATTGAGTGCTTACTATGTACCAAGCCCTGTGCTAAGCACTCTAAATGAATAGTTATTGAATTTTTATAACAAACCAGTGAGGTAGATGCATTATCATTCTTATTTCACAGACGACAAACTGAGATTCTGATGGCTTGTCTACCTAGATTTTCATAGCTAGTAAATAAATGGCAGAGCTAAGCTTTGAACCCTGGGATGTTTGATACCAGAGTGTGTGATCCCAACCTCTACACACAAATCTACTTACACACAAAGGAAACCCATTTTAAAAATGAACCTCTTCCCTCTTACTCATCTCACAGCTACCCAGTCTCTAAGTCCTCTCCTCACTTCCTTTGGCTCTGCTCTCTGAGCCTGGTGTCACCACATTCCCAAGGATATGCATTACTCTCCCTACCATGAGCAGGCAACATGCTCAGCAAACACTTTCCATGCATTTTTCCATTTGGCCCCCAAAGCACTTTTAATAAACCAACTGCTGTGACTATGCCCACTTTCTAGAAGAGGAAACTGAAGCCTGTCGGAGAGATGAAGTCCTTGCCCAAGGGACACACAGCGGAAGGGCCATGCCAGGACAGGGAAGACCCATGTGACCCAAGCCTGAGCCCCCAGAGGTGCGAGACAGACAGCACCCTTCAGGGAGAGGTGGGCAGCCTGGCCTGGCTGGGGCCTGGGTGCCAGGCAGCGAGGCTGGTGGTCTCCACTCGGTCCTTCTCGCTTTCCTCCCAGCTGGGTCGGCTATCAGTACCCCGGTTACCGTGGGTACCAGTACCTCCTGGAGCCTGGCGACTTCCGGCACTGGAACGAGTGGGGGGCCTTCCAGCCGCAGATGCAGTCCTTGCGCCGCCTCCGTGACAGGCAGTGGCACCGCGAGGGCAGCTTCCCCCTCCTGGCCACCGAGCCCCCCAAGTGAGTCCGCACTGCACTCTGCTCCCTTGCCCCTCACTTCTTCAGGCTCAGTCCCTCATCTTTCCCAGGCAAATAAAAGTTCCTAAAGCCAATACGTCTCCTGGGTCTGTGAACAGATGTGTGCCTCGAGGTCCCCCACCATTGCTGGAATGTGACTTCCTCAGTCTTAATAACTAACTGCAACAATAATAAAAAGAGCAAACACTGAGAATTCCGTATATGCACGATCTTAGTCTATCTTATGGACTACTCTAGGAAGCTGACATTGTGATTATTCTCACTTAATATGTGAGTAAATTGAGGCTCAGAGAGAGGAGGTGATTTGCTCAAGGTCACACAGCTAGCAAGTCAAGTTTTGAAGTCAGGCGGTCTGACTCAGAGTCCCCATTCTTTAACAACTCTGTGTTTTCAGACTCTAGTCCTCTGTGCACCAGCCGCCCTCACGGTTTTTTACCTGACCTGCATACCACCTGGTTTGTTATTTACTTAATATTTTTATTTAAATAGGCTTACTATTTTGTGCTTACATGCATTGATTTGTAAATAAAACTTTATAACACTACGGGAAATGGAAAATCAGTGTCATACACTATAGATAGAAGGCCATGATATAATTAAATCAAGTATAACTTCAAGAAGACCAAGTATCGAGTTTCCAGCAGACACCACTGCCTGCAGGAGGCTCTGAGCCTGCAGCCTGCTCGCTCTGGCAAAATGGGTGACGAGCAAGTGTTAGAGCAAAGTGTGACAGACATGCTTGCACCAAACTGAGATTTTTTTTTCCATTGCATTTAATCAATAAAAGTTTAAAAGTACATTCCTTTCTCGTAGCTGCTTTAGCGTTATTTAATCCTGGGTCCATGTTTCATTTAGAATCATCTCTTTTGGAAATCTCTGCCGGGCACTGTTGACTCCCCTATCAACAGTTAATATTGATTGATGTTATTAATCATTAATCTATGCAGGAAGCCTGGCGGAAGGGGATGTTGCTATGGATATCCTCCTGGAAGAGGAAATATTTGAGGGGGGTCTTGAAAGATGGAGCAGAAATGTGCGTGGTGGAGCACAGGGGAGATGATACTCCAGGCAGAGCAAACAGTACGGTCCCTGCTACCCCATATGGCACCAAATGATAAGAAGATGCCTCTTCCTCAAGACATTTTACTGCTATCTGCCAGCAATTACTGGCAGAAGTCTGTGATGTCTGCGATGTGATTATGACACCCTTGTGCTGTGCCCGACTTGCACAGCTGTACTTGGCAGCCCTGGAACACCATGAACAAAGGCACAGGGGTTGAGAGAGTTGTGGTGGGCCCAGGGGATGCTTACTGGGATGGGAGCAGTAGCTTAGTGGTTGTGTGGGCGGAAGTAGGGGGTGGGATGGGGATGCTGAGTGCAGCAGGAGGTCAAGGTAGCAAGGAAAGTGGGGCCTTGTGACACCACACTCTGTTGTTTTTCCAAGCATCAAAGTTGAGGTACCACCTCACGTAGCCTTCCATGAGTTTCACCCACTTTATTTCTTTCCCCCTCAGTTCTCCCTACCCTCCACCCTCTTGGCCAGCTTCTTGGACTAGAGGACAGGACTATCTGTGCACTAGGATTCCTGGGCAGAAATCAGGAGACAAGCATGTTAACCCTGCTTTGCTGTTAGAAGTGGGAAATAACTGGACAAATTGCTTTCACTCTGTGGGACTCAGTCTTCCCTTCTGTAAAATGACAGCTCAGATATCCATCTAGTCCCAAGATTCTGAGGTTCCAAGATCCCATGACTCCTTAAGATTCTGTCGTTTATCTCTAAGCTTCTGTGATGTTCTGATTCCCAAGTCAAGCTCCATAGATTCCTATCCTAAGTTCCCAAGGTCTGTGAGTGCAGCTGTCAAAGTCTATTGTGGTGGTATCGAGCCTTATAATCATATGAGCCCCATGAAATTAACTTTCATATTTCCTCAACCACAAGGTCCTATCAATGACAGAATGCACCATGACTTTAAGATCTGAAAAAGAAAAAGAAATACTATCCATGAAATATAACACAATTGCTCTCTGATCGCTTAGAATCTTTATACTTATTGAGAGAGTTATTTTGTACTCTTAGACATAACTGGTTTCTTTTTTCACTCTATCAATCTGGTAAGTCCTATAAAAGGAAAACATATGAGAAATTCATCAGTTAAATTAGTCCTGAAATTTCTTTGCATTCAGATCTTCTGGATCAATTTCAACTTAAAGATAACTTTATTTTCTCACAGGTATTAACATTTGAAAAAATATGCATAATAACATTGCTGAAACAAGATACATATGCTTGGCAAAACAAACAAAAATCAGAAGAAAACAGTTAAGATTATTATTTTATATTTAGTTGTTTTGCTAATGAATTATAAATAAAACTTGTAATATGAAACAGAGAAAATGCAAAAACCATAAGCAAGGAAATAATAATAAAGAGAAAGAGAAACAGGTAAAATAAATTGACATGCAGAAAGGTCGAGAGAGAGTGTGACTTAGGAACTGTAAGCCTGGGGTTTCTTCCATAGGTCCTAGTTCTAACTTGCCTCTTGAAATGCAAACATCTCACCACCTGCAGCTGAATTTCAGAGTTTAAAGATAGGCCACATTTTTGCCTTGAAACCGAAACTTTGAGTTTCGATTTTATCAGGTGCTCAACCCAAGAAATGGTGACAGTATGATATTGGTAGAAACCAGTGGAGCTGGACTTCCCAAGTGGCTGTGATGCCCTCAGCCCTTTCAGGGGCTTCTCTAAGGTAGTTTTGACTGTACCAGCTTGGCCCTCAGCACTGGCTTTAGAACTTAGTGCCTGGGCAAACTGGGAGCTTCATAGTGTTTCAAGACTAGATCCCAGCTCATGAATCTGAGTCACAGGCCTTAGGAAAGACAAAGCACCCTGGTTGTGGAAAGCATCTCCTGCACATGGCCACAGGAGGCCGCCCACAGTCTTTTGGGCACTAGGGCATGGGCCCAAAGTCAGCAGTGTGTGTCTGTGGAGTGGGGGCAGGAGGACCACCCAGAGGCATTGCCTGCTTTTGTGCCAACCTGAGAGGCTGATAGACACACAACAACTGAGTTTTGGGGAAAAGATGTGATTCCAGGGAGTCTTGGGGAGTTTAAAGAGATGGGCACCTTGTTTAGAGCCACAATGCCATGACAACCAGTCACCTGGGTCAGATACACAGGATCAAAGCGAGCTTTTTAAAACCTGGATCCCCAGCTCCTTCCAGCGGAAGAAGGGAAATGTTCATCTGCCCTCACTTCCTGCCCACTGCAGAGTAACATCTTTCTACCAGTATATGGGAAAAGGTGAGCAAGACCCGAGTTTGCATCCCAGCTCTGACAATTGCCAGCTATTGTCTTTGGTCATATCACATCACACCATGGAGCCTCTGCCTCCTCATCTATAAAATGGGAGTCATGATAACAAAACCTCAAAAGGTGGTTGGGAAAAGTAAATGATCAGCTTGAATATAACTCTTACAAGGTGCTTAGCACATAGCAAATATCTGACTAAAGTGTAATTATTGATAGTGCATCAATATCATCTTGAATGTCAGAGCTTAGAAAGAGTCTTAGAATCAATGTGTTTTATGCAACATTTATTCTTCCTGCTTTCGACAAATATTGACAGAAGACCCCTAAGTGCTGGGCTTTGCCTGGATGTTGGGAAGACAGGCTGGGGAAGAACACAGAAGAGGCTCCTGCCCTGGGTATTCCCAGGCTGAGGGCACAGACAGGAGGGATGAACTCTTTCATCTGCTTTCAAAGTCACATCAAATTCCCGGGCTGCATGGTCCAGTGTGTCTGATTCATCAGGATGTCCAGGAGCACTAAGCTTCCTCAAGGAGGTGACACTCAGACTGAGATTTGAGCTGAGGGTGCTGAGAAGGCCCAACCTAGACACAAGAGGGTCATTCTGGTTATCCTCCATAGCCCTGCAACTGAGATCTACCAATTCTGTCTTCCAAACATCTCTGGAACCAGAACACTCCCTCCATGCCCCTCTCTGGGTTGACTAACCTCCCCTGGATTAACAGCTTCCAAATCTGTCTCCCTGTCTGTCCCCCTTCCATGCAGCAGCCAGAAAGCAAAGCCAGTCACACGTTTCCCCCGCTGAACACCTTCCCTGTCTCCCGATCACTGCACGATAAAACCCCAACTCCTTCCCACAGCCCATGAAGCTCTGCAGCATCCGGCTCTACAGACCCTCTGATCTCCTCTCTCACCTCCACCACATCCTGTCCACTCTGCACTGCAGGCAAGGCTCCACGGTTGCCTACTTCCTATTAGGTCCTTGCACCTGCTGTTCCCGCCGACTGACGCATTCTTCCACAGACCTCCACCCGTGCCTCAGTCCTCCCTCCACTGACCAGGTTAATCCTCCCTGCTCCTACTCTGCCAGTTACAGGTACTCACTTTACTGTGCAGCCTTGGTGGAGTGTCCAGCCTCCCCAACGTGGACACAGATAGTCCCCATTACCTGCTGAATCCCCATGCCCAGCACAGAACACTCAGGAAATGCTGTTGCTAGAAAGTTGTGGAACAAATGCCCCATTCACAAGCCTCTTCCTTTGACCTTCATTTCTTCGTCTACAAAAGGACATTGTAAAGCACTTAGCCAGCGCTTAGTCTGAATGTCCATCAGATTAGTCATTAGAAGTCTTTAGCACACATGCAGTAAACACCATAGAATGTTTTACTGTTTCCAGATCCATTAACAGCTGGCTCCACAGAGACAGATTTCATTCTGTCAGTCCCAGCATTTTCCATATGGCAGGCAGTCATTATTTATTGGACACGTGTGAATTAATGAATGAGCTATGAATGAACATGGCTGGTCATGAGCACATCTCAATAACTGTGTGCCGTGTTTTCCATATGTATGTGTGTGTGCATGAGCATGCGTACATGTGTATATGTTTGCTGTTACGGTAGTAACTATTACAGAAATTTATTTTGAACAAGTAATATATACATGTGGCAGGGAAAAAATTGAAAGAGAACGAAGAGCCAAGGTCCACAGTGAAAAATCAAGTCTGCACGCCTTCCTCCCCCTTTCCTTCACGTATTCAATACATAAGCATATGATACAGAGATAGATAGGTCTATTATTTCCCCCATTTCACAGATGAAGAAACAGGCACAGAAAGGTTACACATCTTTCGGCGAGTTGAGATCTCCCAGCCTGTGTTTTCA